TATGCTTGCTGGCAGCGGAATCAGGAAATATATGGCTTACCTGGGGCACTCTCAACTGGCAGAAATCACAATATTCATTTCCTCCTCTTCATGTTATCCATCTTTAGTGACTTTCTCCTATGACAACAGCCTCCATCTGCAGAAGATGCCACTTGATTCTGTTGTCTGTGCACTGTGATCTAGGCACCTGGCGCTGGATCATCGTGGATTCAATTGGTAAAGACCAAGGGGCAAAACCGGTAACTTTGTATTAGCTGTCCCGGCAATGCAACTAACTTCCTCTGCAGCAGTGTCGGAGAGCTGCCATATCCAGCCAGCGTGCCTACTGCTTTTCATTTGCTGCATTTCGGTGTTTTAAGCAAAGACAAGCAAATTCTACACCCTTCAGTCTGCGCCTTAGCCAATACATCAAGACTCTGACATCATTTTGCCTTGCCACATTTTCCTCAGGGGATGGAGACTGGACTGACAGCTCATGAAGAGATTGTGGTGAGCCCATTTGCTCACCTTCACAGCATCAGCAAGAGTACCGAGTATCCTGAGGACTGTGAGAACATGGACACTGTCTTGCTTTTGTCGCATCTGAATTGTTCTTATCCTGTATTATTTTGAAGAATGTCTTCTCAAAAACAGTTCAAGGCAAAGCTGCATTGTGAAAATGACCCAGAACATGTATTCCCTTCCCATGTGCTGCAGAGATGCTGGGCTGACTTAATACCATTACTACTGTCATCATCTGTCCCTTCCCAATACCTCTGAAATCACTTTGCTAGCAACCCATAATTACAATCCTTAGAATGAAGACCAACAGAATACTTAGTCTTTAAAGGCAGCACAAGAGGGATACTAGCACAAACATGATTTGCAGGGCTGCCTTCGTAAGTTAGTAGAAAAGTTGGCATGAAGATTCAGGATTTTATCCATGGCACCTTAACTATTGTGTTTTAGGTAGACCTGCTTGTAAATAACATATAGCTTATATGGGAGCAATAAACTACTACGCATTAAGTATATGTGAAATACTATAGCAGCAGCAAAACCAAGCTTTAGCAGAAGCTGAACCTTGTAAATCACTCCTACGAACTTCCTTGAGCATCTGTTCAGGAGCCAGAAGTCACTGGAGCACAGCCAAGGAGACAGGCAGCCACCTCCTGGCAATGCCTCTATGTTAGGAAGGGTTGAGCAAAGTCACTCTTAAGAGGGAGGAAAGTATCTGATGGAAATTATTAGCCCTGTTGTGCAAGCACTCAGTAAGGCATCAAGAATGTGGTTCATGCTGCTGGGCATGTTCTAGGACAATGGACTCAGCCTGCAGCAAGGTCTAGAGAAGGGCTGCCGTATGTCAGTGAGTAGAGGAATGGCAAATTCACCATTTGAGAGGACCCCAAGAGAGCTTGGCTCAGCAAGGGTACTATATGACTTTCAAGGTGGAGTTCTCTCAGTTTTCCAAAAGGAATGGAGTGGTACCTGTGGGGAGGTGGACTCAGTCCTGCAGGTCTGTGGAATCTTGAACCAAGGAGATAAATCTAATGAGTCAAACAGCTGGATTCACTTACACTGGTTCTTATGTGTCAGTGAATGTTGTTTACAGAATGTCCTTGAACTCCAGTCTCTGCCAGGTTTTTGCATGAGCAAGGGAGACCCAGAGGCCAGATGGAGCTACAAGAGAGATTTCACAGTATTATCACCCCAGAGGGAGTGACAAGAGCAGGGAACATATACATCTCCCTGGCTTAGTGACTTGTACGGAAACCCATCCTCTTCAGAAACTTCACATTTGGTGCCTTAGGGTATTTTGACTAGTACATTCTGCAAAACTGCCCCTTAATGTGTGTAAATGAAATCTGTTTGCTGACACTGGCACCTGGATGTCATTTCAACAAGTGGAAAAAATCCTGCATCCGATGAGAGGAAGATGGCCTGTAATAGGTGTGGGATTCACACCAAGCAGGGTTCATCAAGGCATTTAGTTCACACAGCCTTGTCCAAGACTGATTAGCCAATGGTACTGCTGATTTATGTCTCTATCCTGTTGCAGGTTTATTGGGCTGCAGTGGTTTGGTCTGTTTTTTGCCCTCTTCACCCAGGCAATGACTATGCCTGCCTACCTATCACACTGGTTTTGTTACCACTTGCAAATGGAGTGAACTGAGGTTGACATTACCTGAGTGATCAATCATTGAAGATGGGAACTACTCCCACTCAAAAGAACTTGTTTGGGAGTATTACATGGTGAAGAACACCAGAAATGATTTGGTTTTACATCTTCCACCTCATTACTGACTTCAGCCACTGAAATGGTATGACAGCAAATGAGGAGCTTCACTGGACAATTGCAGAGTCCAGAATCGTATCACTGGCTTTGGAATCCAGGTCTAATGGTTAACTGGTGTTTTTAGTCACATCACGTCAGGCCTGGGAAATGCTAACACAATGTACGCCAGAAGTTTGGGCTGCTGATCTTTCCTAACTTGATGAGTAGAAACAAATCTCTGTGCTGTATGGATGTGCTGGTATTCAACGTATGCATTTTGAAATAAAGCACCACACAATATTCCTTTGTCTATATGTGTATACTGAGGGCTGTGTTTATGACACCACTTCAGGTGTCAGCATCTGGTGTGATACACAGGAATATAGTGAAGCGTTTGGCCTACGCTTTGTCTTCCATCTGGCCGGTATACAAACCTACTGAGATTACACTTTTTCTGCATCACGTTGTAAAGGCCTCCAGTGCAGGGGATGGGAGTGAAGGAGGTGTTGACAGCTGAAAAAGTTACCGGACATTTGTAGAAGGAAAGTTATTGCAGAGCAGTGAATATACTGACTACCTCAAAAGTTAGAGAACAAAATACCCAAAAGTGATGTTGTTTTTTTCTTTTGGTCACAGAAGGACATGTGTAATATTCCCTTCTGATATAAATACCAAAAATAGCTAATTTTCTGTCATTTAACTTGATAAAAGTACTCTTTCTTTGTCTCCATCCACTTGTGTTTGCATTTATGGGAAAGTTACAGGGTATTTTTCTCCTAACCCATCTAAAATGTGTTTCAGGAAAATACAATTTTTTTTTTGTGAGATTTTAAATTCTGTCCAGAGGAATTCTTTGCAGAAATGCAAATAAAATAGGAAGGTTCTTGTCCTGTTGTCCCTTTTCTTCCTTTAGCCTCCTCCATTCTTCTTTGCAGTATCTAATGGAAAATTAGTGCTGTTAACTCTTCTGGTTATGGCAATGATGCCTCCAGAATATGTCAGTTCCACAGACATGTGATAATGCAACAAGAATACGTCAGTACTAGCAGAAAATTATCCATAGAGGAATAAAATTCAGCTCATTTTCCCACAAAATCAATGTGACTGTAATATTGACTGGTTTTTGGCTTTTTCTCCTGAAAGATTACTCAAGTGCTGGACTTTTGCTGAAATTGTGCTGGTTCTTTTTGTATCATTCTTTTCTTTTTCTTTTTCTTTTTTTTTTTTTCTTTCTTTTTGTTGAGGGTCAACTGTTCTTTTAAGCTGAATAAATTCTCCACTTGCCAAGCTAAATATTCCAGACAAGGAGGTACTTGTCCAAAGTAGCTCTTTATGGCAATGCACCCTGACCTTTCAAGCAAAGGGCATTTGAGGTTGTGAAACAAGCCCTCAGTATGCGAGATGCCACTGGATCATAGAACGCATTCACTCCCCCTTTGTGCCATACCCCTTTGACATGGCAGTTACTTAAGAAGGGACCTGCCTTAACGATTGTTTTATGGCTGTGACTTTGGCTGCAAGACTGTTTTAGCCCTGCAGAGAGTGTAGGCGTGCTTGAAATCAAGTGTTAAAAGTCTGTTTATGCTGTTACTGAGATCACAGCTCTGACCTCTTGTTGCTCATGATATTTCTGTAGCCTCTGTGACACCAGTTAGTACCATTTGCTCCCGTGGCCTGATTGTGCCAGAATATGCTCATCTAAGCAGCTCTACAACATGGACACAATTGCTGCACCCACCTGCCACTGCAGTAATTTCTGTGCTCAGCTTTAAATTTCAAAGCTGTTATTTCTCTCATTTTGTCTTACACTGAAGTAGACAGAACAACTCAGCAACGATCCATGCACTAGCAGCCAGTGTGTGTTGCTAGTCTGAGCAGCTACGATTCAGCTTCACGAGACTGTCTCGCACATAGAGATGCCCACCTCTTCTTCCCTCTTCCTTTTCCCCTTGTATTTGCAATCCCAGGTAAAGCCCAGAAGCTGCTGAAGGTCTCCAGATGCTGGAGGAACTTAGGGTTTGTGGGAGGTGGTGGTGATGGCTCTACTCTTCTCTGTCCCCAGGTGGCATCTTTCAACAGATGCTGCTGCAGCATGGAGAAACAGGCACCCAGGAGAAGTTTAGGGTCTGCTTCTGCCACATGAGTCAGGAGATGCTTGAAGGTCTGGTCTGTCTTCCTCCTAAGGGCAGGGAGAGTGGCTATATACTGTGTGAGGAATACATAACATTTAGGTCTTTGTCTCTGGTTCTGGTCAGGGTGTTGTTTTGCTTTACCAGCTACTCTGAGAGTTTTGAGTCCATGCAATAGACTCAACCCCAAGATAAGGGTCAGGAAGAGACTCACACATGATGCTGCTTTCCTTGTGGAATGGAAATCACAGGGTTATCTTCCTCATCTCAGGTGTTGGCAACTGCTGCTGTTGTCAGCACACTGCTGGCCATGGTGGACATGTAGGACAGTCAGGACAAATTGTATTCCAGGGTGAAAAGACTCTTCACATTTCCAAATGCAGTGCCACAAATCCCAGTTGCTTAATTGGTGTTTTCCACATGACTGTCTCCCCATCCTGCATATCCTCAGTTCTCAAATTCTTCTGAAGGTGTTCTCAAATATATATTTTTTCTGCTGTTGCATGGATGAGGATCTTGTACCTGCTTCCTACTGAAAAGAGCCAAGCCGTCAATAGGTAAGAATTTCTTGCCAGTGCTGTGGAGACAACAGTGTTGTTCCGCTGCTTTGCCTGTGGGAGCCGGCAGTAGCACTCATATTAAGATGCTGGCCAAACCAATAAACTTTGTTGTGCCATTTGAGTAACAATGGTCTCTTCTCAGAGGGAAAAAGAGATGAGAAGAAGAAAAAGCAAATCCTGGGGGCTAAGCAGGATAATTTCTGTTTGTCACTCTTAAGTTGAACACAAGTATGTTTTTCTTTCCCCTGTGTTCCTTAATTTCTGTTTTCAGTTTCTTTAAAATGATGGAAATTGGTGGGTTTAGAACCTAGAGAGCCTTTCATTTGTCAAGATTGTCTTATTCCCAAGATTAACTAAGCATAGCTCCCCGAGAGAGGAACTCACACTGATAACTAAGCCAGACTGACCATTTTTGCTGTTCTGATGTGTAGGCTGGCCTCAGGAACATCCACAGATTGCAATACTGATTCTGCAAGAGAGTATTCTGCATGGCTGTATGCCTCAGCCTGTAATCAGGACTGGCTCTTCTTATGTGCCACTTGTTCCAAACCCCCAAGGGCTCTTGAATATTGTTCTGCGTTCTTTTTTACTCTATTCAGTAACTGAGCTTCATTTCTTTAATGAGACCAACCTGCAGATTAGAGATATTTTGGCTATAGAATATCAAACTCATACTTCATATGAACAACCAGCTTCCCGTCCCTGTTTGCCTTTGGCCCAAACATTGTGTTCATAACAGAGTGCACTTGTATTTTGTACTGTAACACATTGTATACCCTTTATAACCTGAGAATGACAACCTGGGCTCGTGGGTATTTGCTGTCTCTCAGGAGTGAGACATGCTGCAGCTGTCCATGTTTTATGTTGACAGACTTGGCTCTAGGTATAAAGAAACGTAACAAACTTACTAGAAGTTATTGCTTCAATCCAAATGAGCGGGTTCAATAAGCAACGTAATATGCATATACTTTGCTAACAGGCATGAATGTAAGACTATAAAAGGAGTGTGAGATTGATATGTTTGAATAGAAAGTTGCAATTTCAAAGAATTTCTCCCTTGCACAGCTGTTCATTTATGCCTGTGTAATTGACTTATAAACACCCTTATTTTGTTAAAAAGGTATTTACATGCTTAACTGTTTGCTCGCTATCCGTACTCCTTGTGTGTAAAAAGCCTGACAATGCCAAGATTAATTCCACATGTTTGCAGAAGTGGGCCCACAGATGGCTGCTAATTTCCCTTGGCATCCTTATAAGCCAATATGTTTCTGTTATTTTATTTCCAAAATAAACACTATGCATTTACTTTATTATATTTGACATCATAATTTCAGGTTTCGCTTTGGACTGCGAGGCTCAGGGCTCTCAGGGTAGCTTTTCTCGTTATTAAGCAACAGTTACATAGTTGTAGTTAGTGAATTATGTTTGAAGACATGCTTAACAAACAAATGCACAGCAGTTTCTATAATAAAGTGGAAAACACGCCTTTATAATATGTGTTTTTCCAAATAGAAAGCATAAAGTGTAGTTCAAAACTGATATCTGTGGTTTTTATTTTGTCCTTTCTTTTACTGAATGAAAAATGTCTGCATTCTAAAGAGGAAAATCATGCGAATAAGCATTCACAATGAAGTAGGACAAAGATTATTGTTGATTTAAATATGTTTTTAATCTCAGCTAATGTTTGAAATTATTTTAAGGGCAGAAGTGACTTCCAGCAGGGCCTGGTCCCACCAGTGAGGGTACACTCATGAACCAAGCCCTGGGAGCTCTCAGGCTTCTCAGCATATGGGTGTGTTGGTCACTCACTTCTCCATCTCCAGGCACTTTTCCTAAGGTCAACCCTTTATCCACAGCCCTCCTCTTAACACAAGGCCTCATACCTGCCTGAAACAAGCAGTTGTCCCCAGTGCTTTTTGTACGTATGGTGTTATTTCAATCCCACCTTACATGATTGTTTGCCTTCATCTGTGTACCTGAAAATCTGGAAGTCTAAAATCTGTAAAGGACAAGTTCTTTAGCCAGAGATCCTACACTGCAGAATTTGGTCCTGCGCAAAATTTAGGGTTGGCTGAAGGAAGCAGGTAATAATCCAATGGCTGTTGACAGAATTGGAAGATACATTATATTTGCAATCAGCTCTGTATTTACACAACAGATTTAATTACATGGTAGAATTAATTTATCAAGTTTTCATATTTATGCTTTGACCATCATCAGGTTTCTGTATGCATTTTTGGAGGGTTTTTTTGGTCTGGTCCAGTTTCTGCTGAACTACTCTAATTTGTTGGATATATCATTGTAGTTGCAATGCTTTGCTGCCTTTTTTTTCTTTTGCTTTTGCTTTTTTATGCTCTGAAAGTAACATCTTTTTCTTTATCTTTTTTAAAGATAAAGACATTCCCTGCTGATACATCTAATCCTTTTTTCGATCCTTTTCCAACAGTACCACAGTTTTCTGTAAGTAGAACGCGCAACTAAAAAACTGTGTATTTAACACAATTCCAATTATTTTTTTTAAGTGTCAGAAACTTATATGTTAAGCAATCCTAAAAAAAAAAATTAAATAAAAAAATCCAAGTCGAAGTTAGAGTGTGAACCAGTTAAATATTCCCATTATATAAATAACTTGACTGCATTCAGACATTGCTGCTAACTAGACAGAGGACTAAGAGTTAACGGACAAGGCTAAACCAGTAAGGTGGTTGGTCCCAAAATGTTGTTCAGTTAGGACTGTAGGGGACTCTTGTGAAGTTCCACAGCATCTTTCCAAGGAGCAATAAGGGAATGGGAAGACTTAGTCCTCTGTCTAGTGATTGCATGGCCTCCTGCCTGAAACCACCTGCTGTGCCATCACAAAGAGGAGCCTGATTTTCATTGAATTAATATCTGAATTTTAAGGAAGAATTATAGTTAGTATTGGTGATTACAACGGTATCCTCATATAAACTTCCATGTTTGCTTAATAACTTGAATCAAGTACTGAAAGTAATTCCAGTACCTAAATGGGGGCTACAAGAATGCTGGAGAGGGACTTTTAAAAGGACAGGAAGGGCTACGACAAGGGAGAATGTCTTTAAACTGAAAGAGAGGAGATTTAGGTTATATATTAGGAAGAAATTCTTTACTGTAAGGATGGTGAGACACTGGCACAGGTTGCCGAGAGAAGCTGTGGATGCTCCCACCCTGGCAGTGGTCAAGGCCAGGTTGGATGGGACTTTGAGCAACCTAGCCTAGTGTAAGGCATCCCTGCCAATAGCAAAGGGGTTGAAACTAGATATCTTAAAGGCCCTTCTAACCCAAACCTTTCTATGATTCTATAATTCTTGTTAAACTTCCAATGAAGTTGGGATTTAGGCATTTTGATAAAATAAACTATTAACAAAACAATTATAAGGAACATATAAGCAGTTAACTTGTATAAATAAAACCTTTACATATAAGGAAACAGTTATTTGGCAATTTAAAAAATAAATCCAATCTAAGTACTACTTTAAGGTCAGAACCGTTATGTAGTAAGTATGATAAAATTACCTACTCTGTAAGAAACACTCTATAATTATAAACCACAGTAGCTGACTTACAGTTTTTAAATTACATTGGAAAAATGAAGCATTTCAGGCTTTAACCTTAACTTAGACTGCTAGCAGCAATCTGTAACTGGCATATAATCAGCCATAAGTAGCTTCAATCACTGTTGGGCCATGTGCAATAACTGTCTAATGATTTAAAAAGAGAGGCTTTTCTTTCACAGTAAACCTGGCCATGGGATTGATCTGTTGTTTTTCTCCACATAGGTATTTTAAAGCCAAAGTTAGTTAGCCTCCCCAACCTGTGTCAGTGCCACTGTTGAGCTTTAATTAAAGGTACCCAAAAATACATGGGAATAAGTCGCAGTAGGTCAGCCAAGCCCAGGTAATACAACTGTGGTAGAAGATAAATCAAAGTTGCAGTGTTTGTGTCTCTCACGGTACTTTATATAAGCAAGAAGATGTGCCCACAATAGTTTTCCCTCTAATTAGAATGATTGTTCAGAAATTGGTTTTCTGCCTAGGAGAGTTATGATAAAAGCAAAATTTAGGAAGGCTGTATGAAATAATTTTTCATTGTTGGGGCAATGGCACTTTAAAATGTAACAGAAACTACCCTGATATACTTACCCACAGAAATTTCTGTCTTGCAGAAAATGTCTCTTTTATGGTAAATTCAAATGCTGACATTTTTGTTATGCTCTCTTAGGAGAGAAGAAGCAAAGTAAAATTCAAACCAATCTTTCTGAAATTCCCTCTTCTTCCTATAGAGTCCCATTTGCCTGGGCAGAGTGGAGGGTAGAATCCAGAGCACAAATACTTAAAAGACCATTACAATAAAAATCTAATGATGTGTGATCCATTATAGGTTTCCATACATGAGTGAGTTATGTACAAATAGCTGTGGTAAGCGAGAGCTACTGAGAGGACTACATAAAGATGGGAAAACAATTAGGGAGGTTAATTAGACTTTGGTCCTGTGTTTCATGGTCCTCCATCCCAGCCCAAAGAGACGTGCTTCTCCCCAGCAGCATTTCAGTTCATCCTGCTGCATGGGCTCTGTTGAGGACTTGAGCTTCTTGCTGCAGGCTTCCTACACCGCAGGTGGGAGCTGTGAGGGAAAGATATAGATCAATGCTTGGGCTTGCCGGCAGATTCAACTCTCAGTGTCCTCCAGTCACACACAGTCCCAGATTTTTCCCAGACATTTATTAATGTTTTTCCTTGTTTGGGCTTTTCCTTTTCTTTTCGTTGCTTCCCGTTCACTTTTTATTTATTTATTTTTTTTTTAGCTTGGAGCAAAACACTGGAATGTCATTGAGGAGGGAAAAGCTAAGAATGGTGCCATTTGGAAGGCTTTACCTTTTGTGTAGGGCTTCTAATTCAGTGGTGTATATGTAGCTCTGTTGTTCTTAGCAGAGGTAAAAGAAGAGAACCTGGTTGCCTGGGATGTTTAAAAACAAGCTGCATGCCAGAAAGCCCTCTGGATTTCAGAGATTTCTGTAGAGAAATGGCAGGCTCCATGACCATACTCACAGACTGGTATGAGTCACACAGGTTTAAATTAATGGAATTATATCTGTTTAGACCAGTTAAATATTTAGCTCAAACATACTGTGCAGGCATATGTACATATATATATATATATAAAGATGCTTAGGATATATTTACTGTAAATATACTGTTATCCAGAGCAAACACACTTTAGGACTCAGGGCAAATCTTCATCAAGTGTAATTTGTCACTGCCCTGCTGATTTCAGTAAGGCTGGAAGAATTTTCATCAGCTTCGCAGAGTGATGCCTCCTCATAAAGTAAATTAAGATCTGTCAGTCCTCAGAGCACATGGATCCTGTACGAGGAACACAAAAGTTGGTACTCCTGAAGCTTGTAAGGTTGAGTTTTAAAAGTTGAATGACAGAGAAGTTCCAAGAGGTTGTATTAGCCACTGTGTACACACATAATTGGCCAAGTGTGGAGGAAGAGTTTCTTTAGTTGGTTTTACACTTTCCATTTTACTAATTTTGCGGAGTTAATGGAATTCCTTTTGCTTCAGAGGTTGTTTTGGAGCACATCAGATGCATTTATCTGAAACGTGAGCAGAAACACGTTAAAAAATGGCAATGGGCAAGCAAACCTAACACAGCCATTCTTTCCTGGGCTCAAATAATTGTCCCACTGATTAAACTGATTTGTTTGTGGTTAGCATTGATCCTGTGTGGCTTGCAGAATTTGAGAAAGAATTAAGACAGAGAAAAAAAGCTACTATTCAAGCAGCTGCTCCATTATGATGGTGACTTACCTTCCTCCTTGCCTTAAAGCCTGAACTAAGTTCAGAAGAAAAAGTTGTCAAGAAAGAAATGCAGCTGGTACCAGGAGGATACTAGCCAGTGTTGGTTTGCATGAGAAATAGTCCATGTCAAAAAACAGGACCAGGGCTGTTTTATTTTTAGGGATCCTGTCCCTCCACTTTTATTATCTGGCCCAGTCTTTGCTGTAATAATGCAGTGCTGAAAGACAGGAGATGGTTGCTTGCTGTTTTGTCTTAGAACAGCACTTCCAATATTGCTTTTATGTACCTGTCACTAGATGCTACAAGAATATTTCTCTTGAGGCATGTCCCAGTTAGTAAGTGTGGAAAAGGGATGGACACTTTGAAACTTGGGACCCACCTTAAAATTGTATAGGATATCTGAAGAATAATCCAAATGTAGTCAGCGTTCTTTACTTTTAGGGAAAATGCAAAACTAACAGCAGCATTCTCCAAACTGATTATGTCTTTTATCCAAATGCTGCCAGTCCCATACATGGAGTTTTATCTCACATAGGGCATGATGCCATCAGGCTTGTCCCTCAGGCACAGCTCTGAAAAAGCTATCAAAAGAGGTGGCTGTTCAGCACACACGGAGGGGGCACTGAGCAGCTATAGCTACAGACTCCTGTTTGTTCTCATTATTACTTGTTACTGAGTGTTTGGCAATGAATTGGATGGTGAAAGATAGCAAAAGCTAATCTACACTTTTTCCCTTTCTGTGTCTGTGTACTTTTCTTGTAGGCAGAATTTGCAGACAGCAAATTACAATGCTGTACAGTGCAGTCATCCCCTAAGATAACGCTGGTAACTCCATCGCCAGTACTGAGATCTTTGGCAGACACTATACCTACTCCAACGGTGCAGACAGTATATACGTCGCATAAACCGATTTCACTGGCAGACAGGTACTGTGCAATTCTTCCACAGAAATACTACGACGTTCTCTGCATTAAACGAATCAGAATGATTTCTCTTTTTCTTATTATAATTACTATAAATTGCCATTTCCCCCATAGTAAAAGATTTCTACTTGCTGCTCAACACCTACTTCAGAATATGTAAAGGGTTATATAAAGAAATATCTATAGCTCATACCTGCTCTGAGAAAAAGCCCTTACCTTAACTAACTGCTGCAGCCAGCAGTGTACAACTTCTGTGGCCAGTGGCCTGAAGAGAAAGGGTTGTGTAGATTTTCCTCAGAAAAGTCTGAACCACAAAGGTTTTATTTTAATAATTGCTGCTGCAGTTTGTTTTTTGAAATGTAATATCTGGGGGGGAAGGCTGAGGTTAAGAAATGTCTGCTCTTCTAAATGAAAAACAGACCCTGGTTTTCTTTCTTGTTCCTCTTTTTTTTTTTTTAAGTCCTGTCAAGCTGCAGTGGTCTTTCTTGTAGTTTCTCAGAGAAGCAATAAGCCATCCCATCTTTCCAGAGGCAGCCTGCTTTCAGTTTTCTATTCCTCCATCTTACCAGTTTTGCATGCTGGCTTCTTATTCTAGAATGTAATCACAGCTGAATTTGCCAAGCTGATAAGCTACTGAATACAAATGTAGAAGTGGATACGTTCAATATTTCTGGAGGAAAAAAAATTCCTAGGGTTATGTTGAAAAGCATTTCTTTGGCGTCATTATAAATGAGGCTTTTTACTTTCCGATTCATGGTCAATTCCCACTTTCATTTGTGAATTATTTCTTGCAGATGGTGGTTTAATTGCACCTGCACACTTATTCAACATTGCTAACTTATTGACAAATTTATCATCCCAGTGAAAATGTAATTCTGGAGCTGTAGTGCAGAACTCAGCTTCTGTAGGATGTCTCAAATACTAGTGGGTGATTCCACCCCTCCTTGCTCATGAATGGGCTGCAAGGTTTCTGCACTGCAGTTTAAATTTCCAAACTGGTTTACAAGCATAAAGATACGTAACTGTCAGAACCACACTGTAAACAGTTTTGTGTTGGTTTCCCCCACCCTCCCTTACATACACTATTTATTAAGAAATGGAATCACTAACTCGGGACGTTCCCAGTGTTGCAAAGTGTGCTGGCTCTGGAGTGATTTGGGGTATGAGAGCAAGGACTTCAGGCTCTGCTTCCCACAGCCTGATGGGTGCAGGGCTATGGTAAATTCCATGAACATAGGTATCCCCAATATCAGACCACGCCAAGGAGCAGAAGGCTGTAACACCAGTCTTTTGTGGTGGCATTTATTGTAGCTGTTTCATTTACAGAGTCCCAGTCCAGTTTCCTTTGAAATCAGTAGCCTTTAATGGGGATGAGATGAAATCCTAAACCGTTTCTCCATGTGGGTCTTTTTATGTCCTTTTTCTTGCCTCTGTTTGCTCTTCAGAAATACCAAGCGGTACTTGTTTTGAATCGGCCATCAGTTATCAGCCTTTTCACTGAATTGAGCCTGGCCTTTTCTCCCCTCCTTTGGTATTTTGAAAATGTTAATTATTTTAAATTGAAATCTGAGACTTATTGTTGTCCCCGTAACTGGCTCTTTGTACATTAATTACACAGCGCTGAGACTCTGAGGCGTGAACTTGAGAGAGAGAAAATGATGAAAAGACTCTTGATGACAGAATTATGAAGTTCGCACTTCCGTCAGATGGAGACTGGATCGGGGCCTTTCATGTGCCTTCTGTCTACATTCCTCTGCTTCTGTGTACTCAACATAATGCACCAGGAAAACGTGTGATATACCTGGCTCACCTGGATTCACTATGGTTGGTTAAAATTAAGTCTCAGCTAGACTTTAACTTGAAGGAGTCCCTTTATTCATTTGCTGCTGGGAAATCAACCTTCAATCCTTTATCTCTCCTGAGATTTTATACTATTAACACAATTAATTTCTGGTTTGGTTTTGGTAAATCTAGGGCAAAAAGGATCAGCAAGGAGCATACTGATTTCTATTGGGAAACACTGTTCTGTACATATGTTAATAAGTGCACAGAAATTAATGTTATGCAGAATATTTTGATAGTAACATAGAAAATATGTCATTTTGTACAACTGAAAATTGCAATGAGCTACTGCTATTTGTTAAAGAACCATTTTTAAAGCAGAAGAATGATTATTACATCCTAACCCCAGGACTGTTAGTTTCCACAGAAAAATAAACGGCTGTCTTATTCAATTCCTAACCTTAACCTTCACTCAGAGATATAAATAGCTGCAAAGGGGAAAGACACCCCACCATACAGGTATACGCACCCAACACTCCCTATAGATTGTCATCTTGACCTAAACCTTCAACTAAATCCTACCGTATTTCCATTAATGAAAAAAATCAGTTGTTTAAAGTAATTTGCTACTGACTTTCTAGCTTGATACTGACTTTTTTTAACTGAGTGAGAAGCTTTACCTTCTCCAGGTTGCCTAGGCATTAGGGCTTGCCCAGACTCAGACAGCTTCTGCCCCAGCACTGAAGGTTGCAGAGCCTCAGCGGTGTGGACATAGCTCATGCAGGGAGCTATTTTTTCCTTCTTGGATAGATAAACCACCTTCGTGACTGACATGAATTTATTGATCACTTTAAAGAATAGTAACAATTATAGTTTATGGCATAGCTGTGTCTATACCCTCTTTTTTCACTCTACTAATCAGCACATGTGTACTGGCAAACCTGTGAAGGGTACGCCTGGCTATACGTCCCCTTCACCTCCAGCACGCAAGCAGCCTCTGCATTCAGTGGAGCTATCTCAGGCATCAGGTGGGGTGGGTGGTCCAGCACTAGCAGAACCGCAGCCCCAGGGAGGGTGTTTATAGTATACAGGTAATGCTACCAACTATTTCCTAGGTAAAAAAGGAAGAAAGAAGTTCTCCATTCCCCCCTGTTCAGTATTGCAGGGTCATCTAGAAAGCTACCAACAGCTGTCAGCTACAAGGTACTCTTCCAACAGGAAAGCTTTTGTGCGTTTTGTATGGCTGAAGATGTATATTTTTCTGTTACTCTGTATGTTCTCTTGTTTGTATTAAGATAAAATATTGCCCTTAATTTGATACTGATTACAATGGCTTTATCTCAACTTAAGCAGTTTGTTTGTGTGAAGCCTGGGAAGTTTTTGATGTGAGACTGGGTTTCCTTCGGAGTTAACTTATGCTGTTTTTCTGAAATGAGAGTTCTTGAAAGCATTGTAGCACTGTGAATTGCAATGTGGAGGTATAAAATGACTTGCCTATTTTATATTTACTGGGACAAGAAATTGGCATTAGGCTTCCCAGTCAAATCCACCAACCCCAAAATTTCAGTTTGCAGTGAAGCGGGGCAAAAAGCCCCACACAAGTATTAGATAGAAACTCACTATACAAAATGTAATGAAGTAGCTCAACATGAGCAATGGGCACAAGGAGCCACAGAAACACACCTGGACTGCAGATTTCAGAGCGTTCAGGTGACTTTGTGGGGTGATCAGATGTGACTTGTACACTGCCCACCTTCTAGTTACAGTCCCAGAACACTTCTGCTGCTTATATTTTAATGTACCACTCCATCGATCCAAGGTTATTCAAAACAGCTTAGGAACTTTAAACCCCTATGAAGAAATCAGAAAGGAGAGGAAATGCAACAGCCACAAGAGCCTGCCTCTTCCATGTCCTGTTACTCTTTTCTTGCCGCTTCCCAGAAGGGACTGGGGGGTGGAGAAGAGCAGCCCATTTTGTCTGTGCTCAAGTGAAAATGAGCACTGTGAAGAACAAATAAAAGAAAATTATAATTAAAGCTTCTGTTTTGGGAGAAGAAAGCAAAGTAAGGTTGAGAATGGCACAGTACTGACTCCAGCTGAACTTGGTCTTCTGCCTACTGTTAGGCAACCCCCAGTTGTATGTGAACTGGCAGCAGTTTCACAAAGTCATTGTCAAGGAAAAACAGAAAAAACCCTGATCTGAATGCACACATCAGCTGTACCGATTGCCATGGAGTGGACTTTGGGAACCCCGCAATATGCCTTCAGGTTTGGGGGCAAACAGATCCGATTACGCACATCAAGGCAGTCTGGTCACAAAAGCAAAAGCCTTTAGCAAAACTGAATGCCTGACTCAGACCAGCCCATCAGATGTTCTGGCCTGTGATCAAGCTATTTATTTACTATTTTAAATGCAACCTTTTGCTCCCATTGTATAAAAATTCTGGAGCTGAACTAGAACTGGAGAACAAGAAACGTGAAGCAAGGTTATTTTACAGCGGCCAAGTCTTTATAGTAAAGTCGTGCCCTGGCGTAGCCAAGAAAGAGCAGGAACTCCTCCCTCCCTGGCTCCCACCAGGAGAAGAGGGAAAGGCTCGCATGGCCACTTAGGTCCTGGGGGATGTTTTCCACAGAACAACCCCAAGTATGTTGCCTTGTCTTGTTTTAGTGTCTTATCCACTGGCTGCCACCTATTCTGCAGCCTAATGGAGCTTTATTAAAACTGTTCTACTGTTATCAAACTAAACTTTTAACTGTGGAATGTCATCGCCTTGTTCTTTCTTACTGTGTACGTTCTTCAGCCACGCTTAAGTGTCTCAGTTTTCACATCCTCTGAATAAACACTCCTGCCTCACGTCTGGTTGGGAATTACAGTGTTAGGACACATGTTACCCAAAACTACTGTAAACAAGACAATGTCAACATGAACATATGCTGAGGGGCAGATAGCCTAGATTTGCCCCTAGACTTTAACTTTACAGGTGTTAAAGGATACTCTGCCGAGGGTATGTCTATATAACAGTGCAGAAGTATCTGAGCTAGCTTTAATGAGCTTCCATATGTAGTTGTGGCAGCATGAAGCCCAGCACAGGCTATCATTATCATGTACATTGACGTGTGTAAAGATAACGCATTTGGACAGCAGCCTTCTGAAGCATGGTCTCCAGAGCTGGTGACAGGAAAGGGTGGCTGAAAGGAGTTTGTCTCGTCAGCTCTCCTGGGAAAGGGTTCATCTCACCTAATGTTAATATGCTCAACTCTCACCTGACGAGAGATCAAAGGAACTGTCTTCCGGAGGTGCCTCTGACTTAAATGTCTACCTTTATATAGCTTAAGTGAGATGAATCCTGCTCTCCGTCCCTCTGGTTAGGTCTACATTGCAAACCCTTGCCAACACAGACATATCATCCAGGGTGCTTTGAGGTACGACTTGTGATCATTGTAGCTCTGCCAGCAAAAGCCTTGCGCGTTAGGTGTAAATATACTACCAGAAACACCCTGTTGTCAGAACAGCTTGTGTCCCTTATGGGGAGAACAGAGAGCTGGAGTAACTGACAGTGGCGTAGTAAGCACAGAGGCTTCGTTATAGTTGTGCCCTGTTTGGGAGGCACTGGTTGATGAAACCTCCTGCTATCGCCATGCTGGCAAAGCCTGCCAGGGGTGTCCCTGGCTTTTAGCAGTGCCCTGAGTGATGCTCTGACCCGCTCAGCAGATCCCAGCTTTCCAGCGTGAAGTCTCTAAGCGGCAGAATGCAATGTTGTCATGTTTGGGTGATTCCAGCAAAATTTATCGGCCATTTAAATAGCTATGCAAGGAGTTAAATATTTTCTCATATTGCAGTCTCCTATGGAAGCCAGCCAATTGTGCTTTGGCTTTGTGTGGTTCAGCTGTTTTCACTATTTTGTTTTAAAAGGAATAACCGGGTTTTCTTTCATTGTTTGGGATCCCACGTCTCTTATCAGGTCCCACAGCGTGTGTAGATTTTTCACGTTTCAAACATCCTTAGGCCCTGAAAGTGCAATGTATGAAAATTAACTCCTCCAAAGTTTCTGTTCGTGGCTTCACAACTCTCTTGCAACAGGATGCCTACGTGCCCATTTGAAACAGAGCTGGCAATGCAGTGAAATGTTTCACTGGAGGCAGCATCGTGTTTTGTTTGCACTGTTTACAACTATCCTTTGGTTTTCTTTTTTATTCTTTTTGTTTGTTTCTGAACACATTTCTGGTTCATTGGCTACAGAAAATGACTCGTAATTATGCAATGGGACAGTGTTTCTTTTTTTAACATTTTTCTTTTTCTTTTTTTTTTTTTAATGTCCTGATGTTCAAGGAGTTTGCAATAAATATACTGAGGCTGCTCTGTAATTGCATGTAAGATCAGCCTCACAACTGTGTTTTGTAAAGTTAAGTGCCGTAAAAGAACCTGTAGATGACGTGGAGAAGGAGGGAAGGGAGAGAGTAAGTGGAGGAGAAGGCTTCTCTGGCAGCTGCAGCTTTGACTGGTGGGTGGCAGCTTTAAAGTAAGACTGCTCACACCATTTTGTTTCATCCGAGTAGCAGCATGTATCATCAGACAGTGTATGATGGCATTTTGTTGAAAACATGCCTAGAGAGAAACTTTTACGGCTCAGCTGTTTACCTGTTCCTGTATTCATGCCTGCAATAAATGAGATGAAAAATAAACCACAGAGTCTGAGCAGTTTGTAGTCAAATCAGTCATTTAGGAGGCATGGGGCAGTGTGCCAATTAAAGAAACATTTGGTTGCTAATGAAGTGGATTCATCTTTATGAAAAATGAAGTACAACCTAAGGAAAAAAACAGATAATTTCTTCAAAACGCCCAGAAGGTTTTATCCAGCTTAAGGTTACAGACTAGTGTTGTAGGGTACCAGTCATCTGTTGGGTCATTAGCTGGGGCATGCTTTTCTGAATACCAGAGCTGGAAAAACACTGGCAGGATCAAGGTGGAGAAATATGAAACGTGGCAGGTTGCTGGTCTTTCAGCAGGGGCTCAATGGGGAGAAAATCACTGCAGGAGTGGGAGGGGTGGGAAGAAATGTTCCTTTTCACACAGGGCTGAGACACCCCAAGTTATGAAAATGGTTCATGAAGCAAAATACAGAGAACCAAACCAAGGAAACAAGAAACCCTAAACAAACAAAACCCCAATAGCAACAAAAACAAAGCGCGTTCATTGTAAATATTTTTTTGTTTAACACAGTTGAAACATTTCACTTAGATTTTTGCCCTTGATTTTGCTGTTCTTGAAATGTCTAAATGAAAAGTTGCTTCGGAATGAAACAGTTCCATTTTCTTCTGTTCCAAGATCTCTAAATCAGGACATTTTGACATTTAAGTTTTCCAATGCACTTATGAAATGAAATCCCAGTAACGCTCACCCCATTTTCTGAGGTTGCCAGAACTCTATATTCAGAAGGAGTATGATCCCATCCCAGTTTCTCCAAATGGGTATTCTTCTATTTTTAATCTCCATGCAGGGAAAGCAGAGGAGAAACAGATCAACGTTCCTCCGTCAGTACTCAATTTGTACCAAGAAAATCGATTATCCAGCCAGCAAACCTAGTTAATTAATTCCCATTAAAACACATCTTTACTAAAGAATTAGTTTTCTGGGGTGCAGGGAAATGAGAAGCTGTGTGCTAAAAGGTCAGCAAACAGTCTCATGTAACTTGGCTGCAACTGAGAAGCATGAGGACTTGAGAGATGTAAATCTGAACAATGTTTTGGTTTATTATCATCAGGCAACTGATTTACAGGACTGGGTGCAAGGTCATTGAGGTAAATCCTGTTTATCAGGGGACATGCTTTCTAGAACAGAAAACCAGCCCTGCATGCAGGCACTGTTAGGGCAGGGGGGAAGATGAAGCAACAGTTACAAGCCTGGCTGTGTTGTGCAAATGCTGCTGCACTGGGGCAGGAAGGCTGCCCTATAGGTGCAGGAGGGTGGAACAGAACCCAGCCCTAGTGAAAGGCCATGTTCATGTTCTTTTAAGTGCAGTGAAGCCTTTGGGGCTGGCCAGCAGTGCAATCCCCATGTCCATGCAACTTGCCCTATAGGGCAACCATGCAGCAAATGCAGTGCCACAGCTGCCTGTCACCAGACCTGCTGGAAGAGATGCAAGTAAGTAAAAGATCTACCATTTCTCTTTCCCAGCCACCTCAGGCCAGGCCCATGGAGCATCCCCAGCTCCTGGTGTCAGATGAGGAGAGCAAGCTTGCCCTTGTGAGAAACTGGGCATGGGATCAGCTTAGCTGTGGCATCAGATGTGTCTGAGAACCCTGACCATTGCAGTTATGTCTTATGTGCTGCCAGTAGCCCATATGGTATGTGAGGTGGCTTCTTGACCCCTTCTTTCAGGTCTGCAATGGTCAGGGGAGAAGGGAGGAAAACAGCAGGGAGAATGAGGAGCAAACAACCCACACCATCACCTGCTGGGTGGCCTCATGGCAAAAGTATTGCCTAAACCAGTGTTTGCATTTTTAGTTTGTTTTAAAATTGCATATATAAAATTGCATCATTACATAGGTAATATGCAATTGATGCTAATTATGTGGGTTATAATGATAATTTTTACAGTGTGTGTGGTATACGATGCCAGTGACAGCATAGCTCCGCCATCAGAATATCTGGCACAGCAGTGAGGCGTAAAAGCCACATGGATCCTTACTGTTTCATGCACTGATTATTCAGCTTTTCAAGCAGAGAGCCACTTAGCCTCCTGCATTGCTCTTCCTTTGCCTTTCGTTAGCAAACTCTTTTGGAAATCCAAGGCAAACAGAGCACAAATTCTTTTCTCTGAAGACACTTGGTCAGTGATGCTCAGCATCACAGGGCCCCAGCGAGCTGAAGAACTCAGGTGTGGTTTGGGTTTTTTCTTTTTGATTATTTACCTTGCTGCTTTCAAAAACAACCCAAAAAGTGATTTCTGTGCTAACTGCCTCCTGCTCTGCTCTAGCTGCTGGCCCTGTCCAGTGGTGCCAGGCTTGGCAAGGGCATGGGGTGGTTTGGTTGGTTTGGCAGGAGGGGACAAGGGTTTGTTGGGGTCTTTTTTTGGGGGGGGAGGATGGACTGCCAACACCCCCCTAGCACTTCCTTCCCTCCTGTGGTACATTTCATGCTGTGGCTGACACAACCTCTGCATCCTCTGAGGTGGGATGTGCACTGCCCTGCTGGGAACTGGGAAGATGTTTTCAGCTCCAGGGGCACCCAGGGAAGGTTTGGGGCTGGTGGGACTGAGAGCTGTGGTGGTTGCATGTGTAAGGGGCTGTCCTAGGTTCAGCTGTAACACCACAACAATGACACATGCAACAGTTTGGGCTCTGGATATTTTGGAGACTGCCTTGCCCCTGGGTGTCATGGACATGAGGACATGGTGTGGACATGAGGCTGTGGGGATCATCTGCGTGACTTGAACTCTTCCTGGTGTGTGAAACAATGGCAGGGGCCTCACTGCAAGACTGGTCATTCCTCCCTCCTGCAAAGGAGTTTCAAACTTGTGCCCTTCAAATCCGAGCTACAGAGTGAGTCCTGTGGCAGGGCTCAGGTCAGTGCTTTCAGCAGTAGAGGTGCTCACTCTGAATGAGACCCTGCAGTACCCTCGTCACACTGGCTCACAGCTGCTTTGTGGCAACGCAAGGATGACAGCACCTCCACCTAGGCTGACGGTGTATGGAGACAGGGAGGGAGAGCCCTGAAGCCAACTGTCTTTGCAACCAAAGAGTGCTCCAATTTTTTCTTTTCCAGCCATTACAAGCCAAGGCTCAGTGTGAGTTCTGGCCAGCCTGACAACTTGCCCTAGTGATCACAAGCCACCGGGAGCAGAAGGTATCTCCTCTAGCCACCTGCTCCTCAGTGCCTTCGTGGACTCCATGCCATTGTGCTAAGCCTCTTCCCTCCTCTGCTCATCACTCACCACTGACAGGTTCATGGCTGACAGCTTCCTTCATCCCCACAAGCATCCCTCCCCTCCAACACACACACCTCTGGCCTTGTTTGCTTTCCAGATAGAAGTCTTTTGCACTTCTGAAGCCCCTTGCTAGCCCTCACTTTCCCTTACCCTCAGCAGGTGTTCCTCCATCCACACTTGTCTTTTACCCTGCTCCTATGTCACACTCATCTCTCCTTCATCTGTCCCACTGCTCACACTGCAGCTGCCTCAGCTCACTGCCTGCTCATCACTTTTAGGCCTCCTCACGGCCAGACTGAAACACTGGAAAGATGTTATAAAGCAAACTGCCAACTCATTAATTCCCTTCAGGTGTCTTCAAGTAAGTGCTCTCTTCCCAAAGCGACGCAGCTGGAATCAATCTTGCTACACATTATGTGGTAATAAATCACAAGGACAGCCCAAGCTGAGTGCTTTTCTTCTTTACCTCAAACTACTTCTCTGGCACTGAAATCAGCAACAAACTTCTGGTCTTGCCCACGTAGTCTCACATAAAAACCATACCATTAAGTCTCAGTGAAACAGTTTTAATTGCTTTCTGTTTTTTTTTTTTCCTTTGTGTCTGTGTGCTGGGAAAAACAAAACAAAAATCAGGCCTGTAGAGTGGCATTTAACAAACCAGAATTGTTAAATGCCTTCCTGGAGGGGAAAAACTTTCTTCTGACAGTCGTAAGGATATTTCCAAGCAATCTGCACTGTTCCTCTCCTTGTGGGATTTCCATCTCCCATCCTGTCCCAGCAAACACAATCTTGGTTCTCTCTCTGGAAAAGCTGCATTATCATTGTGACATGAACCCCTGCACTGCTAGTCCTGTATCCTGTCCACAGTGGCTTAAAGCATCTTCCCACACAGGAGCTGTACCATGGCTGCTGCTTCCTGACCTGCTCAGCTCAGCATACCCAAACACCAGGAGGTGCAGGTAAGTTGACCCTGATAGGTCCCATTGCAAGTCCATGGGGAGCTCAGCAATGAGTTTGGCAAAGAGGGGTGTGCTATGGTAGGTCTCAGTAGCCCGGTATTCAATGGTGAGCTATTTCCTAGCTGTGTGCATTACCTAGGAACTGAATGGCAAAAGCTTCAAGCTTTCTAAGGACACCCTGCTCCTGAAAGTTATCTTTCTGCAACACTAAGGTGGCTCAGTTGATCTCCAAGGGCCACCTCTGCCATCCACATGCCACTGTCCCACTGGCCTGTTCACCCCTGCTTGCAGAGGCCTGGCTGCACAGCGGTCTCTACTTGAACAAAGCTCTTGCAGGACAGCTTTGCTTGCTGGAAAACCCTTCCAAAGAAGCTGTGCCAAGCCCCAGGAAGGAGCTTTCGAATATGCAAGACTTGTCCCCTGTAGGTGTGGGATAGTCCAGGGCAGCTTCTATCTCCCTAAGCAGCTCTTGTGCATCATGTGCTGGAGCTGCTGTCTCCAACAGGGAGAGCCTGGCACAGCTCTGGCAGGTTTAGTCCTAAAGCCCAATTAGTGTTGTTTATGCTCATATTGCAACTGAAAGAAAGAAAAAAGTGGTGCTTCAGTAGGTCAAAGAGTGTGAAGAGATGAATGCAATTACAATAAATGCAATATATTAAAGATACTGCCGTTTAATTAAAAGCATATGAATTATGCATGTATCTCTTCCACAGCCTGTAACTGCGTGGGCTCAAGCAGTAACCGAGTACGTTTAGCTCTAGCTACCATGTGAAACCTGTGGCTGCTTAGTTTCTCA